GAGGATTTTCGATTAGAGTTCTTTTCAGCCATTTTTATTTACTTCTTATTATTTCATCTTGTATTCTGTATTCGATTTAATTATTAATTGTTTGATATTCCCTCGGATTTGGGTCTGGGCCTGATCAACCCGTGTCTCAGATCCGAGGGGTATCACATGTGGAAATTCTTCAACTGGATACTTATATCACAGTTGATAATCTAATTTCCAGCTATTAGTGGGTGATCCCACCATTACTTCAGCATTTACAAGTCTTACATTCACAAAGGTTCATATCCCAGCTGTAGAGTCTCCCCTTGCCTAGTACTGAGAGGGATAATGTGATATAGATTCTAACACATACAATCAAATACCTCATATCACCCTCAATATCTTTTACATGGTATCATCTGGTTTGGTTTAAGAATAACATCCCAAAACATAGTGTGATTGCATGGCTTGCCTGCAGGAATGGGCTATTCACACTTGATTCAAAGCCAATGAGAAACAAACATTATGTTAACATATGTTTCCTTTGTGTTACTGGTAATAAATCATTGGATCATATCTTCTTTCAATGCAGTTTCAGTGCTCATATTTGGGTGTTTATTCAGCATGTAGCAGGGTTCTATATTGTACCGAACAGTTGGGGTGACTTAATAAATTGGTGTTCTACCACATGGGGCTCTAAAAAGTTCTTCATCTATAAGCTAGCTTCTCCTCAATGATGCAATTTACTTTATATGGTTGGAAAGGAATACAAGGGCCTTTAGGAACAAGACCTCTTCTCCACACCACATTATCTGTTTCATTAAAAGCTATGTTCAAGCTAAGCTTGCATCTCTAAAACTAAGGAATGAAGGTCAACTCAGAATGCTTGGAACTCAGGAAGACTTATTGCAATTGTATTTACAAGGTTGTTCATTTGCAGGTGGACAAACTTGGTGTCTAGCTAAGTAAGTAGTTATGTTTTGTATAAGGGAGTTGTCTTACTGATTAGGTTGTGTATGTCGTTTACACTTTCTCTGTTGGAAGGTTGTTGTTGTATTTGCTTAGTAATGTTGGCTAATTTGTGCTGGTTGTGCCCTTGTTAGGCTATCTCTTGTACATTCTTATTTTGATTTTATTAAAGCTTACCATTAACCCAAAATAATAATAATAATAATTCAATCAATCACAAATTGGGCAAGTTGACCTATTAATCTCATCTAGATCATTGAAGCAATTAATCACAATTTAAATCAACTAACAGTTTCCACTTCCCGCTTAACACTGTTTTCACAAACAACTCTTCCTCGTTTAACAGGATGCGAATCTATATTATTTACCTTATTTGTTCTAATAACTCTTATCACCCAACAGATAAGCATCCTCTTTAGGAAAAGAGAGGTCCTGCACACCAACCAACCATTGATATGGCATCATTACTAGTGAGAGAATCCAATCCAATGGTTAGTGGGTGTGCAGGACCTCTCATGAAGAGGATCTTTGTCCATCATCCAACATAACATCCTCATTTTCTCTACTGTGTTTGTGCCTTTAATACCCTAATAACCTTTATATATAGAATTGTCCTTTTTTAGGTTATTTGGTATTCCTTTTTCACAAAGGATACCACCAGCTTTCTCCTCAATTCCAATCGTACTTACTATATATATCACCATCTATCTCCCTATCTTTTTGTAATATTGATCCTAAATGACCGAATTAGTTGTTTCTTAAATAAGTTCTTTTGAAAGTTATTTTGAACCAGAAGGCCTTTGGCCTATTGATATAAACTGTAAACCTCTTGTGGCTAAAGCCTTTCTTCATATTTATAATTTTGTTGCTAAGGCTTCCTTGGACGTACCTACTAGTATAATGAATATGCAAATAACATACACCGTGCAGGTCCTAGCTGCCTCCGACATACAATTTATCCCAACTTTATTTATATATCTATTCATATTTACTGTAATCTTGTGTTAGACAATATCATACACCTATACACATGCAAATATATCGACTTGATGACTATTTTATCTTCTAAAAAATTGTTTTAATATCTACCAAACAATATGAATATGATACTAGGGCATTAGGATTAAAAGTTGTTTCAACGTGACCAGCATATCACAAATACAAGAAACATTTTTTTTTATGTAACGAGGTAAAATTATGTATGTCTAATCCTTCTTAAACTCTATAGTGACAGAAACTTCATGCAATAGATTTAGTTCAAACATACTTTAGTTGTTCACTTCTGAATTTAGATGAAAAAAAAAAAGAAATTGTAAAAGTAGCATTGTTTTTTTAAAATAGTATTTTTTAACCGCATTGTTAATTATTACAAGGAAAGTATAAAAATGTTACCATACAGTAATTTATTTCATATTAAACCATCCACTTTTTATTCGAGTCATTTTTTTTATTGGTAAACTAAAAAGGTTATTATCACCGGGTTTTGGATTTGTTGGTATCTCCTTTGTCTCCCCCAGACAGAAGGATTGAAGATACGAAGTCACGAATTCTAATTGGACGCACCTTTTTCACAAAGGGCTTAGCTTTTTGACAATTCTAAAAAGCAACATAAAGGATTTGACTATCAATAGTGTTGGTGGAGTGGTAGGACATTTCACTTGGGGGTATTTTAGGTAATTCAGAAAACTGCCCCCGCTACCGTAGATATATGTCATCCCCGGTTGTTGCAATGTTCCCAATTATCGGATGCATATATGTACATGTGTCATATATACACACACACACGTACGTTATGCGTGTATAAATAACCCTTAACTCCAATCATCTTTTCAGATTCCATGGTTTCGTCGTATTCTCTGGGGACCATGGTCCGGTCCACTAAGCAGTTTTCTTTATCAGTAACCAGTAGACACGCTTAAACCATCAGTAAGGCCTACTATGTTAATGTGGGCTAAGATACAGGGAAGGCCCAATCTGAATGTGGATCAAACATGGGCTTCTTAGTTTTTAGTCTATATCCACACGACATAGAGGGGATGGGGATGAAACTTTAGATTGGTGGGTCGAGTTGGTCCATGATAAACTCAAACCCGTTAAAGAAAGGATGGGTTCGGGTCGGTTCACAAATCATAACCCCTAGTAGTATCAAGTTGACCAGATTGTAGTAGAGGTCCCAGCAACAACCAATAGTGGGCATTCATTGCAGAATTGATCATACAAATTTCTAAAGGAAGAGTTTAAACAGATAGAAGGAGGTTTTGGTCCAAACTTGAAGACCAATAAAGTGGCTAATAGGGTGGTGAAGGTATTGCGGGTATTTTATTGTTTGTTCAATAAGGAATGAAATCGCATATTTAAGTCTTTAAGAGTAGTAATTTTGTACTCTGTTTATGTTTTATAAGTCCAATAAACATGAATTTGACAATCTCAACCCGTTTTCTCTTCACTGACTAAAACGTGGGGAAAGGAAAAGGGCAGGTTCCAGACATACATACATACATATATATAGGCATAAATTATAAACACATAAACAGAACAAGCATAAATGTCATTTAAGTAGCAACGAATGCAATGCATACAAACACCTCTCAATGTCCTCATATTTGCATATGGACATATTTATATATATAATCATCACATTTATCTGGAAGAAAAGAAACAAACAAGAAAGAAAGAAAGAAAGAAAGATAATGAAATATATATAATTATATATATTGGAAAGGTAAGAAGAGAATGAAATATTGAAATGGATGCAACTAACCTGATGAAAAGTATATATATGTTGAAATTCAAGTGTTATGAGCAACTTCAACTGTAGACTTGTATTGGTCTTCTTTCTTCAGTTACGAAAACACAAGTAGTAGTTGAATTTGCAGAGTAAGCAGAGAGAGTGATGGAGGAACCAAAGTTTTGATTAAAAATAGAAGAAAAATAAAAGAATGGGTGTTGGTGGGGGATGCATATAAAAACAAAAGAAATAAAGAAAGAAGAAGTGAAGGTTAGATGATATATGATGGTGATGAGGTGTTGTGGTGCACGTGCTAAGAGGGATTTGACCAGCAGATTCGAAAAAACATTACAAAAAGCTATATATTGTTGGTGTTCTGAGGGAGTGTGTTGTTGAGTTGGGTGGTGAAGAGAATAATCCTCCTAACCCAACTTTCTTTTGCATCCTTCCTAACTAATGGACTCACTCACGTTCATTAGGTGAGGGTGGGACGACGTACCTTCTTTTCTTTCTCTGCTTTCTACCCTCACTATTTCATACGGACCTCACTATGAAACCCACACCACATGTTCTACTTCTACTTCTACCACCATGCTGTTATGTGAGACTCTCTTAAACAATGACTTCACCATCATCCACTTCCCAATTCCAATGGACAACATTTACGTGTCTAAATATCTGCTACTGATCAAACTTTCCTTGCTTGTTAGTCAATGTCCCAAGTTTCAATTCCCAAGAAAATGGTTACCACCAGACAACTAAGTAAAACCTAAAACATCTTTTTCACACACCAATTTAGCAAAACATTTGTTCCACTTGCAACCCTTTTTAATATTTTTTTTCCTGGAAGATAAAACAAGTTTCTTTAGGCTTTGTTCTGTTATATAGAATCAAAGTCCTGAATTTGTTTTGTTCAAAACTACCCCAAAATTGTCTTAAATTCCATCAATTATTATTCCATAGCTCTACTTCAACACGGGCCAAACATAGTCTTGATCATTTTCATAACTACTTCGAAACTGTTTTAATATTTTTGGACACCACTTGTAACTCCATGATAGATTAAAATATTTCAATACGATCATAACCGTAGCCCCTAATTCCAAAATCTCAGACACAATGATTGAAGGGCCCAAAAACTCCACCAAACCTGTACCACTCGAGCAAATATTGACATTAATAATAAAATTAAAACCATATAATTAATTAAATTACAACCGATCCACCGCTGAAACCACTCAAACACCAGATTATCCTGGGCGAACCAGAGACTTGATTACTCCAAAATCTCCCTTGTTCACAGCAGTTGAAAAGCTCCATAAAACCAATCTGATACTCAGAAAAATCCAATAAAATTAACCAAAATGTTTGGATCAGCCTTTCCAAACGATGTCCATACAAAAATGAATGCTTAACAAAAAAACACGCCAGGCCACCATTCCACAACAATCACCAATAAGAAGCAGGTGGCAGTCACTAAATATATAGTTCAACTAAGAAAAGAAGAATTTTTGCCAGAAAAGTTATAGGACAGAAAAACTAATGAGCAACACAGGATCAAAACTTTCATTGTGTAAAGCATCCTCCGTGCCACCAACCATCCATGCTCAACGATTGGCTTTCGCAACCCTCTCAATCTCATCCTTCTTTTTAATTGCGTAGCTGTATATATAAAAGCAATCAGTAAACATATATTGCAAGAAAAAATTATGAAAAGGGAATTCGATGGTGGAAGTCAATTGTTATGTACAAGCAAGAAAGTTTCCCCAATACAATGGTGACAACAACTAGGTTTCCCTTACCTGTTGGAAGAACCCTTGGCAGCATTGATTAGTTCATCAGCAAGGCACTCAGCTATGGTCTTGATGTTCCGGAAAGCACTCTCACGAGCACCGGTTGTAAGGAGATAAATTGCCTGGTTGACACGACGCAGGGGAGAAATATCAACAGCCTGACGCCTCACAACACCAGCGGAACCAATTCTAGTAGCATCCTCCCTTGGTCCACTATATCAACGGGACACAATTCAATGGAAAACAATAGTAAGAGTCAAGCTAAACAGAAACTGCACCAAAACTTGATCACAAGGTTCCACTTTTTTTTATAGTGGTGGGCCCATTTAAAAATTTAGAGATAAGAAAGCTGGAAGATGTTCATCTCACTGTCTTGCATTTACACATGGTAAAAATAAGGGGGAGAAAAAGTTTCATCAAGGGCAAATAATCATTTCCCACAAAAACATAGTAAAATAATAAGATGTGCAAGGTTGTTTACCTGTTGATTACAGCATCAACAATGACCTGGATAGGATTTTGGTCAGTCAACAAATGGATAATTTCCATTGCATGCTTAACAATGCGAACTGCCATCAGCTTCTTCCCATTGTTCCGCCCATGCATCATCATAGAGTTGACCAGCCTCTCCACAATTGGGCACTGTGCCTTCCTAAAACGTTTGGCTTGGTACCTCCCAGCTGTGTGAGGCATATAGGTCGGATGCTTGGCAGCAGTTGCCGTAATGTAATCCTCCACAGAAATGTCCTGAACCTGTATTAAATTGAACAATCCAGCGTCAGATAACAATGATTGGCATCTGTGGCAGTATTAAACAATTGCATGAGAAGTCGGTAGCAATTGTTGTGGAGATTATCTACACGTGGACTGCACAAAGGGTGACAATCTTGGAAGTATTACAGAAATAGAAACAAACCAGTACATTCTACAAAGCATTCAATCACACAAGTAGTTCCTGTAATAGGAAAATGACAACATAACCAAAATGGAAACAACATAGTGTAATAAGAAAATGTGGACAAAATTAAAAATGGAAAAAATGTCATGCTCACAAATTTCCTAAATTACCCTTTGGACAATGTTATTGAAGGGGAAAAAATCATTCAGGGAAAAAAAATGTTCCAAAATACCAAATAGGAGAGAGAATTAATAGAAATGGTCAAGCAATCAGTTTAATAATCATAATCATACCATAAGGAATTAATTTCAAAGATACGAAATAAATATTACAGTAACGGCAGACATAATTAATAAACACTTGGAAATAGACAAGCGATCAGATTCAAATAATATATAAAAAAAAAAATGAATTCACACATACATAATCATACCATAAGGAATTAATTTCCAAGATACAAAACAAATATTACGGTAATGGCAGGCAGATTGTGAAGAAATACAATATCAAGGCATCAAATCAAACATAAATTGAGCCAAATTTTAACAATGGACAACAAACTATCATTCAGTGATATAAACTAAACAAAAACCAATAAAAAGCCAACAGTACAATAAAATTTGACTCAATATGTGCATGCGGCAAAAGCATCCTCCCTAAAGCCAGAAAATGGAGTAGCTTCCACACAACCTTCATTGCAGCATTAGCTGTTAATTATGAACTAACCACCCATTCAAACAAAATTTAACAAGAATATATCCTCATAACTCTAATCATTTCCCAATTACCATTGATTTGTCCATAGACAATTCAGCTATATATCATCATAACTCTAATCACTTCCCAATAAACCATTGATTTGTCCACAACAGACAATTCAGTTCCTGTGTTCAGAGAGAGTTATAGAGAAAAAAATTATAAATTACACTCTAAATAAGCAAAAGTGCCTCATATACTTGCAGGTCATCAAGTTCCTCGATACGATATGCAAAGATTAACAATAGAAATATCAACACAAGTTCACAAAATAAATAAATAAATAAAGCAAAAACAAGTGAATCCTTATGGGCACTCATCATTCCCAAACCTTCCAGATCAAGGTTACCGAGAAGGTCTGCATTACAGGAAGCAAATGTGGTAGACAACATACAAGAAATTAAACATAATGGGCGTAGATGACATAATGTGGTAGAATGGTTTTCTTACAATTTAGTGACGAAAAAGAAAAATAATGTTATATATAAATAACATCATGGAAACTTACAACCACACAGTACAAAAAAGTATTTGATTGCTAAATTTAGTGTTTAGGAAAAAGTATAGAAATTTCCGAGCAAGCAACCACACAGTACAAAAATAAACACTAACAAACCTTGTTCACATTCAGAAAATAAAAGAAATGAACATTTTTAGTTATGTAAGATCAATGGAGTTTAGTTCTGACAAAAATGTTTTATCTAAGTATTTCATTCATTGCTTCGGATTAAAACATCACCTATTCCTTTTGTTCTGGGATTTCGCCTGTCTCTTATTTTTACCCTGCACAAACTGGATTTAATCTCTCACACCCAATATCAATAGAAGTCGATTAAATAACCACAAACTAGTGACATTTTTTTCCCATTAAAATTTAGGGATCATGAGTTCAATTAAAAAGAAAAGTAGTAAGTGACAATATTTTAATTAGTAAGTGACGCTATTGATCCGCAGGACCACTTCGGATTATAAATAAGAAAAATCTAGAAAACTTCCAAAAATTGTACATATGACTTATTTTGTGCAGGATCGGGGAACAAAAACAACTAGTTAGCAGTGTAAAAAAAAAATTAGGGAAAATTCAAATCACATCCATCAACCAAGATATAAACACATATATGTATATTTGTGTATCTATTAATAGTTTCAAATTAAGAATTAACAAGACCTGAACATCGTCGTACGACCATCTGTTGAACAGCTTCACATCGGTATGAGGAAGAGTTTCCTTGTCCTTCTTAGGGTTCGTCCCAGTCCCAGGTCCTGTCGCAGTCGCAGCTTGTGGAATAGCAACAGCAGCCGCCATTACTGAAACTGCGCAATAGATTCAGAGAAAGAAAAAAGATTACACAAAATACACAACCATACATAAATATTATTCAAACATGGAGAGAGAGAGAGAGAGAGAGAGAGACGGAACAGAACTACCAGACCTTCAGGAAAATGCCGGAGGAGGTCTCGAAGCTAGAAAGGCGAGAGTGAAAGGAGGTGTAAAAGTAGGGTTTCAAGTTGTATATATACAGGCTCATACCTAGGGTTAACGACTTGGATCTGGACGGATTGGGCCGGTTGAAGCCTTAATGAAGTCCAAAACTTTGTGGGCCTATCAGTACTACTTACAAAAATGTATTTCATTTAAGTATGATTTTTATATACGGTTTTTTAAATTTTTACCTTTTAAAAATTTAGTTAATAGTTTCCTAGTATATTAGTTCTGTTTTTTAATAGTTGGCTACCAATTTTTATGGAAAATTATTGTTGGCCAGGAAAAAATAAAGAAAATTCTCACAAATTTCTTCTGCAAAAAAATAAAAATAAAAATAAATTATTTCTTGGAAAACTAAATTTGGAAGTTTGGATTTACAATTGTGAATTTTAGTTTTATCTCACCAAAATAAAATTAGATTTATGCATAATAAATTAAATGAAAGGTACAACCATTTGTATTTCGCTACGTGAGTGTCTTAGAAACTTATTTAATTAGATTTTCACATTAAAGATCTTTTAATTATTATCTTTTATTTTTTAGTCATGCTTCTCGATCACATGGATTGCAGGTGAATTTTTTCTTTATAAAAGTGTATAGAAATTTAATTTTTATGCACGGCTTTTTCTTCAATTTTCTTACCTTTTTAAAAATTAGATTAATAGTTTCGTATTACTTTTTGAGTTGAGACTATTTTTTAATAGGTTGCTTATATGCAAGTTTCTTGTATTTTGGTGAAGTGTTATATAAGTTAAATCTTAATAAATGGACACGTCATATTTTAATTACCAAATTCAATTGCTTATATAAGCTCATGGCTTAGGGATTTTTAAAGATCAATTCAACACAGTTATTGACATTCAGGTGTGGAATAAGGAAAAGTAAACAGAATTCTCAAATGAAGTAGTAAGTCTACAGTCCAACTTTAAATTGAAAGTTGAGTGCTAAAGTCTAAAAAATAGTATTCAAAAAAATTAAAAAGCAATACAATCTTATTTTCTCTCACTTGAGAGTTTAGTTGAGACTAGTGGTTCAATTTTTATTTTTATTTTTTAAAATTTTATTTAATCAAACTTTTGGTTCAACTTGGACAATCATTGAACATTATGAATAAACCTCTAATTAAGTTGTGAGCACAGGTGGAACCCGAATTATAAGATGTCATTTTTATAGGCTAATATTTCTAAAAATATTATATATTTGTTATAGTAATCAACTATTTTTTCAATTTATCTTTCTAACATTATTACTGAAAATTATTTTTTACATTCAATTTTTTAAACCTTTCCAATTTGCTCCCTTAATCAAGGATAAGCTTTTGGAATTCAAGTGCAATTCCATCAAATATATATATAATTCTGTCAACTAACACCCAGGCCAAACAATTAAATCTTCCCAAAAATAGATTGCAAAAATACATATACACTAAGAAACAAAATTTAAAAAAATATATTGGATAATTTGGATTTTGTTAAATAGGATGAGCTATTAATTTAAAAGAAACAAAATCTAAAATCCAGAACAATGTTTTTGCCAAAATAATTTATGAAATAGATTAAGAAATATTTGAACTAAGTTGAATTTCTTTCAAAATAATACCACTTTCATCGACACCTAAGCTAATAGTAGCTAGAGAATACTTTGGCAACAATTCGAACAACTCACAATATCACATACCAAAAGTTCTTACCCAATAACATACCCAGGCCGGATTATCCTCAAGAGATTACCAAAAATCCCAGCAAGCAAAAACGCCACTTATCTCAAACACGGTTTCAAATCATTCAACCCTAACATTAAGAACCATCCTTTCTCAAACATTAAAAATAACAAACAATAATGCATGAACATCCTCAGATAAGGGGAATGTCACGAAAACATGAAAATTGGATAAGACATGCACCAAAACAGTCAAAAGCTTGAAGGACTAGGTGGGAATATCTCAAAAGACATAAATTTTTGATAAGACATGCTCCAAAACAGTGGAGCTTGAAGGTCTATGTAGGAATATATATGAATCCATCAGCGCAACCTTCTTGCCTCCCTCTCAGACTCGAGAAGGGTGAGGACATCGCCTTCCCTGACCGGGCCCTTCACATTCCTCATGATAAACCGGTTCTGATCGTCAAGGAATTTGACTCTCACCTGAGTCACCTGCCCTCTTGATCCTGTGCGACCCATAACTTTGACCACAATGGCATGCTTGATCTGAGAATCCATTCTGCCCATGTAAAAACAGTTAAATTAGGATATATATAAATATATATCATTCCGACTAGATACCACATTATTAAATATGCAGTGACCATCTGGATGTTAAACACACAATTGAGATTGCATTTGTCAAGCACAAAAACAATTGGGCGTAACTTCCAGTGCGAGCAAAATAAAATAGCTTTTTCACTGAACGAGCAAGTTCAAGCAAAATAAAATAGTTTATTAAACAAAGCCTGAATATAACCATTGTCTAAAGAGTAAAGATCGGTAACTCTGTATCCACCTCAATATTCTCAAAAATTAAAAAGCAACTGTAGTCTCTTTCCATGGAAGTATTTTTGCTAAAGTATATCATGCAAACCATTTGAGTAAGATGAAAATCATAATAGGCATAAGAGAGTAATATACAAATACTAAATAGATTAAGAAAAGTTTTATGAATCAAGTATCTTAGAGAACAAAATTTCAACTAGAACAACATTTGAAACTATGCCACATGGAGTCTTCAAGAGGTTTAGTAAGAGTGTCAAATACACAATACTTGGACATTGGTATTGGGATATGTGTCCAGCACTTTTGGTTGCACCCAAAAAACCCAATCCAATTTTATTATACAATTGCTTCAAAACGAGTGATACTTATATTAAACATAGTTACATAAAGATATTATTTTACTCTAAAAAATAAAATAAAATATTAATATTATGACTATTTAATAATGTCCGACCACGGGTACTCAAGTCCAGGTAATATAGGCAAGAAATACATGGAAGCAACTCTCAAGAGACTGCAACATTAAGACTCAGTTTGGTTGGAGCCTGGAGGGTACTGGAAGGAAAAGAAAAGGAAATGAAATATTATGTTTGGTATGAATTTTTTTAAAAAAAAGAAAGTGAACAGAGGGATTCCAAATGATACAAATTATATATGATGTGTTGGTTTTGTTATCCTTCCAAAAATAGGAGGAAATGCTAGCATTTTTGACGAAACTTTGTTAATAACAAATTTTCCCGACAAACTTTATAGAAAAAGGTATGATAGTAAATTTATTAAAATACTCTCCTTTACTTTCTTTACCCATTTACTTTCTTTACCCAAACATGAGGACTATCATTTCCTTCCTTTTCCTTAATTAACCAACCAAACACCAAAAGAAAAGAAAGGATAAGACTAGTTACAAGAAAAGGGGCAAAAAAAAAAAAAAAGGATAACATTATTTAAAAGAAAAGAGTAAAGGAAAGAGAGGCACTTATTGTGTTTGGTTAATTGATGAAGAAAAATAAAGGAAAGGATAGTAATCATATAAAATTTGGGATGTAGAGAAATTCTAACAATAAGGGAACAACTTCAGCTAACTATAACCACAATTATGACAATTGCCAACCTCAAACAATTGTTAGAGAATGAACAGAAAGATACAAAATCAAGTTATACAAACTACAGGCCACAAATCCCTGTATTTAAAATCTCAAAAAGGAACAGTTAAAAATCTAAATAATTACAAATCAATTTGTCAACAAAACACAATAAAAATAAGGACACACCCAGATTAGTATGATTGATTCATTCAAATACATATATGTATAGACAGAACCTCTACATAGAGAAACTTCAATTAAGGATTTATACTAAATCAAACTCTAACAATGGAAAAAGAGTTCAAACTCCACAAATATTCAAGTAGGTATGATATTGATATATAAATTAACACATATAAACAAATATGGATTATATATACAAATATGTATATACACAAGTATTCGCATACAATATGCGCATCAATATAAACAGAATTGGCTTCATTTAGACATAGACTTTTCTACAAATTAATCTAAACAGATTCTAACAAATTATTTGTAGGAAATATTTGTGCGGAACTGTTTCTCAAATTAGTAACGTTAAATAAAAAAAAAAACGACATAGAGCTTTATTCAAGCTACATAAATTTTTTCTTTCAACACAAAATTTCAAGTATTTACCATCACTTTCTGTTCTATGATTCCAAAAGAATATCAACAGAATTAAGTAATCACTAACATTTAGCCAACAATAAAAATAAATTACCTAAATTACACAACAGATCTACATATATCAAATATAGAGAGAGAAAAAAAAAAAAAAAAGTACTAAGAAATAAACCTGCAACTAGAGAGAGAAACTAGAGAGAGACGAAGAGCTGTGGCGCGGCCGCAGAGAGGAGCAGTTTGGTCTGGAGAGAAAAACCTAACAATGAAACAAGGATATTTATACGGAGTAGTTTGTATGTCTAATATTAGGGTTAGCGAGTTGGATTGCTATAGGATGGATTGGGCCGGTTGAGGCCTTAATGAAGTCCAAAACTTTGTGGGCCTACCAATACCGTATACCAAAAGGTATTGTATTTTATATAGGATTTTAACTTCCCAAAAAAGAAAAAAAGAAAAAAATTTATATAGGTTTGTTAATCTTTTAACCTTTTAAAATGTGAGTAAATAGTCTCCTAGCATATCAGTTCTGTTTTTTTTTTAATAGGGCGTTTTGCCTCTCCCATCCGAATTCAATACGGGACAAGCTCTGAACTTGCAACATACTTATTGTAAGAACTACAATGGATAAGAGTTTCGCGATTTAATCCAAAAACTTAAGTTATTAGGTGGAGCTAATATCCAACTCATATATATTCAATCAATTTTCCATTCAGATCCAATGTAGAACAAACTCTCGCTTGTTATAGCTATCAATTTCAATTTTACATTTGTGGTTAACCTCAATAACAGCCACTATAAAACATGTGAACCGGCTGGTTCGGCAAATTATGAATTGAGTTGGTGAAGATTTTTGAATTGGGTTGGTGTTCGATTTATTTAGAGCACGATTTTGTTGGGCTTTGATTGATTGTGTGGAGTAGTAAATAGTGGAAAGTGGAGGAATGGAAAAATTATTAACATTTTAAGGAATTTTTTTGTTAAAATTTAATATTTTCCTTAGATTGTTGGCTAAAGAAAAAAAAAAATACAAAAATTTTACCTATAAAGGACAAATAAATATAAATAAATAATTATTACTCTCTAGGAAGACCATGTTTTGAGTTTAGACTTACAAATTCTACCTTTTCTTTTTATCTCGCCCAAATAAAATCGGATTTATGCATAATAACTTAAACAAATGGTACAATAATTTGCATTCTCTACGTGAATGTCTTTCAAATTTATTTATTTAGATTTTCACGTTAAAGTATCTCTTGATTATTATTTTATATTTTAATAATGCTTTTAGATCACGTGCAATGCACCTGAACCTTTTTATAGTTTTTTTATTTTTTAAAATAAAAACTTATAGTATTTCTAATTTTAAAAAATATATATTTTTTAATTTCTTACATTTGTAAAATTAGGTTAATAGTTTTCTAAAATACAACTGTTATTTTTTAATAGTTGGCTGCCAAATATTTTCAACAATGGTGCCTTTTCTAGTTGTGAGCCATTTATTTTTTGATATATAAAAGTGTAAACCATTTTTTATTTTTATATAAGTTTTTTCAATTTTTTATTTTTTATTTTCATGGCAGAGAAAGAATTATACCTTTTTTAAAATTAGGCTAATAGTTTCCTTATATATTATTTTTTAATAGTTGGGCACCAATTTCTATTCAATAGTGAGAGTCCAATCGCAATTCATGATATTATTGGGAAAATGCTCAATGATACCCTTTCCAAGAAAAAAACATTTTTTTTTTTTTTTTAACGAAGGTAAAGTTTTCTAAGATTTTAATGACCATGTACAAAATTCAGAGTGTTGTAGGAAGGCATGAAAGATTTCAAAAGATCTGAGATTATGTAGAAATCTGTAATTTGCAGAGGATTCTCAAAAGTTAGATTTGTGTATGGTTTGTAAATATAAAAATATTCGATCTTCGTTTTACGCCCATTTTTTTTTAGATATTTATGAATACGAAGACATTTATGAAAAAAGCACCGGAGAGAAATGTAATGAGAAAAAAGGCTGAAAAAACTCCACCGCCTAAATGGTAAACCTCCGCTCAATGGTGTGAGTGACCGTATAATTTTCCAGCAGAGTACATAAAATATGTTGTGCTTAGAGTGCCCGTCCGAAATTCAAAATCCTCTAGTAGGTAAAAGTCCAAGGTTCAAATCGGTTGTATCACACATGCTATACTGTAGAGGATCCGAACTCCACAATACATAGAGAAAGCAAAATGTATAAAAATTATTCAGATTGAGAAATAAAATTAGTTAAAAGCATCTTTGTTTTGGGGTTTTAGGGTGAAATTACTAACAAAGTGGAACTCAAATTCTTTGCACATTTTCTGATATTCTAAACACGGTTCTAATATATTTCGCAAATTCAATTTGAAGTGTGAGATTGTGTGCTTAACAAAATATACATATATGTATAATAGTAAAATAAAAGAACTGGATAGGTAGTGAAACTCAAAAATTCTTCCATTTCTTATTCAATAATTTTACCATAACATCTACAAAAGAATTGTAAAGAATTTTTTTAGTAAAAACAAAAGAATTCCAAGCACAAGATACAAATTTATCTGGATGTGTCCTCCCCCTTAGTATTGTAATGGTGTTACTATTTGAGCCATCACAAAGAGAGTGGACTTCTGCCTGAAATCATATCTGAAGAGAGTGGACTTCTACCTGAAATCATCTCTCTACATGAACTAGTAGGAGTCAGACCCATTGGACTATGCCGTGCAGATCCCCCAGGAGAAGAGAAAGCACTTCTTGGAGACAGGTTCACCTCCTCTAAGGCCCGAAATTGAAGCTGTGAAGGGTAGTCTCTCACACACCCAATCCGCGGCCCAGCTCCTGTTGTCCATCTGCAAGATAACTGCTGAGCCAACTGATATGATTTCATTCCTTTATGTGAATTTATCCTTTGGATAATCTTCTCTTTAGGAATGGGTTCTGCATATTCTTCTTGATCTTCATCGTACAGATTCAGTTTTGAAACCATGAATTCATCATCCGATAAAATTTCTTCTGCCGTTTCATATCCATCTAATACAGAATCCACATGGTGAATGCTGCAACTTGGCTCTGGTTTTTGTCCTTCCTTCTTGAACATCTCAAACACATCCTCCCTTCTTGGTATTTCAATCTTAGATATATTCGAGCACAGTTTTTTAGAACTTCTTGACAAGGGAATGTGTGGTTTTTCTGTGTCATCATCTACTAGTTTGCTTGAATCAGTTTCCTCTTGAGAGGAGCTTCTGTGATGGGTTTCTTCAGTCACTCTATTGAAATCTGGTTCTGATAAGTTGTTTTGCGAGACAAAACTGATTGTCTCTTTGCTGTGGACTTCTTCTTCCTCATCAGTTGGGCTTTTCTGAATTTAACCGGGAAAAAAATAAAATTAAAATTAACTCGTGGCTTATATTTTCTTCATTTGAAGATTTCAAGATTATAAAGATATTCTATGAAGTTGAGCATGAAGTTTCATGCTTTACAAAGTGAGAGAAGATTTGTGGCTGGCTATAGGGATGCATTTGTCTTCCAGATATTCAATGTCATCAAATGCTCAAAATAGTTCTGGATACTAATCCCAATAGCTAGCCAATAGTCTTCTGCTCATTGTATCAGCTATTGATCTTTCACACTCCTACTTAATAGCAAATATCAGTAATTCCACTATTGAAAAGCAAGATTAGTATTTATACCTGCACAATGCTGAGATCGACATTGTGCTCCTTTAGGAATAGCATGAATTCTTTAAAATTCTCTTCTGTTGGAAGATAATGCCCACTGTGAGGCCAGACCGCCTATTGAATTAAACAGTCGGATTAATATACAAAATAAAAATGCCTTAAAAAGGATCCAAAGAAGCTATAAAAATGAAAAAAATAAAAGGATGTGGCACAGTTCTGTACCTTTAGAATACCATCTTCGACTACTAATCTACCAGCAGATAACGTGGCTCCTCCAGCCAAGAAACTTGAATGTTGAAATGTGCCTTTGGCCTTCTGCCCAACATACAAGGTCTTGGAGGTGCTCAGGACAAATATCCACTTAGCATCTTTAGGTCCTTTCCTTGTATCGAGAAGTTCCGATGTCTGCTTGTAGAAGAACTTGCCATCATCCACTGCAACTTCATAAGCCTTCCTTTCAGTCTGCAAATAAATCAGAATTTGTTGGAAAGGCAAATTTTCATCTCAATTAAAAAAAAATCGAATTTAGTATGATTTCAAGGATTTAGATAACACTTGGCAATCCTAAAAATCTGACAAATTTTGGTTTTTTCCAACAAAGGATTGCATATCAATAAGTAGGTCCCAGTTTTATTAAGACCAAAATCAAGACCTTCGAAGGAGATACTTTTAGGTCTATAGGGAAATCTACAACAATCACCATGAAGGCAGATAAATCTCACCGGACCAAGATACTTGATGCATTGTTGTTGAAGCTTCGATCGAGGACACTTGTCAAAACTGACTTCTTTACCTTCTCCTATGTCAAGCCTGAAATTTCAAAGTTTGATGAAACAAAATTACTAAATGATATTGGATGTGAAGCAAAGGCATTGCTTTTTTCAAATGTTTTCTGGTCCAAATAAATCTTTACCAATAGAAGAAGGGTTGTTTGCTCTCACAGTTGAGCCATTTCACATAATAGAACTGAAGATTATGCCCATAGCGGTGTCGAGGGTCAATCTATTCAGAAAAAGGACTATCAACAAAGAGCCCATGAATAATAACAAAGATTGTCATTCAAAGGTTAACTTTTCTAGAAAAATGATACATACAGCTTCAAGCCAATGCTGTAAAGCAAGCTTCCGAGCTTTTTCATCCTTTAATAAACCCTTCCCTACCTGCCAATGAGATCAAAAGCTGACAATTTTTAAAATAAAGAAAGATAATATTAACTATTAAGAATGAATTAAATTATCTAAAATTTACCTTGGCAGCTCTGGTTCTTGCTCGTGACCAGCGAGAAACAGCAGTTTCCGGTTTCTCAACGTCAAAGAATGATATTGAACTATGCTTTAGTTCAGCAAAATCTAACAGCTTCCACCTGAAAAGCATGTTAAAATATATTAAACTCGATGACAAGAAAAGAATATGAAGAAGATGGGATGTCAAGAAACCACATTGGGATGAAAATACTACATTTTAGATTTCTTTATAGTTGATAAATATTCTACAGCAAGGAAGGGTAGTATTGCATTCAAAGAACTGGAATGACTCAATTGTTTAGTATAATTCTCAATAAGATTCCGTGATCATTCCTTCCCAAAGGTTGGTTCTGTGCTTTCAAATGCCATGACTACATAAGGAACTGATTATATCCCAATGTGGTTTCGACTCTTCTTGAAAAGAACTTCACACAGAGAATATTACAAACCATCTCTGCTCAACTAGAATCGCGCAATCTGCTAGCTGTCTTCTGGTGCGAAAACTTTTGTACACCTTCTGCAACTTTAGTGCAGCCTGAGATCTTTGGTTACCCGGCTCCAAGGATGGCAATTGGGGATCTTTCTCGGACTTGCTATCCATTGCTGGCAATTGATTACCATTTTCTCTGCTCACATGGCTGGCAGATCTAACAGTCATGTTGCCCCCCATATCTGAAGGGACACTAAATGAAATCATGGACTCCATTTCCCTCCCTTTAAAGCTGTGAGACCTTTTAAATATCATCTTCCTGGAACCAAATGATGTCACAACGCCAGGTTCTGTCCTCACATCAATGCTCCCAAAGCTCACTGATCTAACTAGAAAAGATTCAAGCCGACTATCCAAGTCATCAAGATTTGAAGACGAACAGGAATAGGGAATCCCCATTTGACAACAAAACATTTCCTACTAGAAATCTATAAGACGACCAAGATCTGCATAAAACAAGATATAGGGGTCATAATAATGTCTGCCAAAATGCACAAGAGGGAAGATCACTTACTATAAACTCAAAACAAATTGTAAACTTAAATGGCATTACATGCTAATGACAGAATTAGCAACACAAGTCTTCAACAATAATGAATTGAACTTCGAAAGATTTTCAAACTCATAGATCTTTAAGCATTTAACAGAGATAATGTAAAAAAAAAAAAAAAAATTAGCATTAAAGGAAATAGTTTCAATTCAAAACATGAACACAATATCAATTTTGGATAATTATGGTTATTTCATACTGAAGCAAATTGATTGAAAATATTCATCCACTCATATATATACATTTTATAGATGCAAATTTCCGAGACTCTTATCCACTAAGAAAAAACTTCAAACACAAAAAATCCCACTACATTAATTGAAAAGGCTGAATTCTAAAAGGCAACAAACATTTCATCAGTTCATTCATTTAAATGTCATAGCATAATTTACAAAACAAAAGAAGAAATCCAGATCATAGATAGAAATTAAAGAATTCTAATCAGAAGTTGGAGATAAAAAAATAAAAATATAATTCAAAACACCAATGTATGTTTGAACCAAAATCAAGTAAATAAGAAGAAAAAACAGTAAATCTACATAATCCGAGACTATATATTTACCAAGAAAGAACTTCAAACCCTCGAAATTCATTTCTCTAAATCACATTACAGATAATGTAAAATAAAGAAGTCCAAGAGAGCAACATTTCGTTACGCACATTTCAAACATATACAACAAACAGAGCAACAAACAATTGAAAAAAAAAAAAAAAAAAAAGGGGGGACAATAACATAATGATAGAGTTACCTTAATATGAGAAAACTTGAACTGGAGATGTGACTGATTTTATGGAAAGATAAAAAAGAACAATGAGGAGAGAGAAATAAGAGAGAGAAACCCAAGCAATGTGGATTTGCTGGTGCAAATGTGAGAGAGAGAAATTGGTAGAATGTGATGGGAAAGGTTGGAGAGTTTGGGTTCTTTGGGGATTACAGATTACCTTCAAACTCCTCTCTCATTACCTATTTCTTTCAAAAGCTCAACATGCGTTGGTTGTCTTTGCTAAAAACGAAGATTATATATAGGCTTTAGGGACAGGAAATATATAGGATGTAGAGAGAGAAAGAGAAGGGGGCAGTGTGTAACGGGTGAAAAGGTTAGTCTCCAACCACGTGCTATTACTCAGGGATGTTTCAATTAATTCTGAATTTAATTCTTTTTATGACATTTCTTACGGATATTTCGTGGATTTTTCCATATTAAGTGATTAAAAGATAATGATAAATGGATATCACATTTCATATAGATAGGAAAAATATTCTTGAATCAAATAATTGCACTCAATTGTTAGATTTATTTTTTTAATTGATCAATTATGTAACAAATAAAGAAGTGAATTGTACTTAGTTATATTTAGTATAAATAATCAATTAAAAATTATTCGGTTAGGCAATTCATTATATATATATATATATATATATATATGTACTAATATACTTTTTTGAATTTTATTAGTTATTATGAGAGTGCTTGCCATTAGGGCCCACCATCGCCGACCACCAATCATCTCACCCCCTCTCTCTATAAACATGATACACACGTATATATCACCACCACCAATTAGTCAAATCACCCCTACCACATATACGGCCGCCGCATTATCACGCCGCAACCACCACATATGAGATACTCATTCCGTTCCAAAATAAGTGTTATACTTTTTTTTTTTTTGTCTGTCCCAAAATAAGTATCTACTTTTTTTTTCAAATAGTATATTTCACATCTTTCCATATATGTTATTTAAGTTTAAAATTTCAAACTTGAATATTCAAAACTTAAAAGGGCAAATTAGTAACTTTTCAAGGAGACAATGCATGTCCCATGTGTCCCCTTAAATATTACTACTTCCCATAAGTAACACTTAAATTGGGACGGAGGGATTACATATTTTGTAATTGGCAAATTTTGTTGTCAAAATAAGTTCGATCGAGTTGTAAAATTTCAGTTTATAATTTAAGATTCAGGATCGAAAGCATAATTGAAGAAGTTCAAGTGTTTATGCTTCGACACAGTCCGAGATGATGAAAACAATGCTTTAGAAAGATATATGAGTGTGTGAGAACACTTAAGAAGTTTGGGAAGTTCAAAACACAAATTTTTAGGAAGCTTTTACATTATGCCTAACTTGAACTGGTTCAAGAATCTTGGAACAGGTTCAACTTTTGAGGCTTTCAGTGTTTTTCAAGTCTGGCCAACTTGAACCGATTGAACCACCCCGAACCGGTTCAAGTGTCAAAGTTGTTTTGTCACGAAATCTCACTGGATAACTTGAACCAGTTCAACCACCCTGAACCGGTTCAAGGTCTTCAGATTTGTTCTGGTAACTTACCTTCCTGGCCTTTTTTTTATTCATATTGTGGGTAGACTTCCTTCCAAAAACCTATGCACGAATTTGAATTGGTGTCCAAGTATCTTTAGGTCTTCCAAACTTCCATATATTCTCTCTTTTATTCAATATTGAAATACGACTTTTTGGAACACAACTTCATTATTTTGATAAAGCTCTTTTGAGAGATATTTTCCAGAAAATCAAATCTAATTTTCCTAATTTTGTTTTGAGAGCACAAACATATATACAAGAGTGATTTAGTAGTGTTGTTCTCAATCTCATCGGAATTGAAGCTTAATTGAAGATTTTTATATTCTAAGAAGCAAATCTTATTATTCTTCATCAAATTTAGAATGGAAGAAAATGGGCGTTTCGATCACACTTTGGAATGGGGTCAATGCATTCATGGAGTGTTGTTTGATCTACCAGCAATCTTTCTACATCTATCAAAAGAAAGCCTGAGGTCGAGAGTTGTTGGACGGTGGAGTCGTAAAGTCAGGGATTATCAGTGATTGGTTTTCGGTAGAACGATAAGGTATGAGCCTGAGTCAAAGTTCAGTGTACTTTGCTTCAAACATAGTGGATCATTTTGCTTTGGATACAGTCCACGAGGTTTTCCCATAACGATTGGTTGATTTCCACCGGTCGAGATTTCCTCGCTAAAAATTCCTAGTATAATCTTTCAAACTTTATTTACTTTACTTGCACGTTATTTTTGCTTTGTGGGTTTGAATTTAGTTTTATTTCGGTAAAATTAAAATAAGTAAAAATTGGATAAAGGAGTAAGTAAAACCTATTTACCACCCTTTTAGGTTATTTGTAATACAAACTTCCACATCTTATTCCACTGCATAACTCACACCACCCCATCATCATCATCACAAAACCTACATCTTCAATTTCTCAAACAAAAAATAATAATAATTTGCAAAAACACATATTTTTCCCCCCAATTTCATAAATTGATGATAATGGTGATACATGTGGCTTTTCCAGCGTTCTTCATGAGACGTCACAACCACCAAACCCATCACATCGCGGGATTGATGGCTAGTCATTAGGACTATTGGACGTCGTCATTGTTGTTGGAAGGTCGCAAGTTATGCTTTTGGTCTACTAATAATTTGTAGGGATAAAGTTTAAATTATGGTTGGTGGTCAGTGATGGTAGTGAATTTGGGGTTGGGTGGGTTGTGCAATTGATGGTATTTGATTCGGTGTGCTTGGCTTGTGAGTTGGGGTAACAATATTTGACACAACACTAGATGAGAGGGTTTGAGTTTAGGCTAATCATGTTCGTGTCGTAATCGTGTTAACACGAATTGACTCGTTAACTAAACATGTCGTATTCGTGTTTGACCTTGCTAACATGATTAACTAAAAGTGTTGTATTTGTGTTAAAAATAACTCATTTAGCTAAATGTGTCGTGTTTGTGTCAAAAATGATTTAAACGTGTATTTTCGTGCCATTTCGTGTCATGTCAAATCTTGAACCATTTATTTAACGGGTTATGCATGTCGTGTCATGTTACACGTATAATAATCGTGTTGTGTTTGTGTCAAGGGGTCTTATTCGTGTCGACTCTAATCGTGTTCGTGTCAAAATCGGGTTCATGTCATAATCGTGTTAACACGAACACGACCAATCAATCCGAATTACCACCCCTACTTGTGAGGATTGGCAGTTGGTAAACGGGATTGATTTGGAGGTTTCACAGAGATGGTGCTAAACTGGTTGTCCAAAGCACCGAACATGGCCTCTTTCGCCTTTCCTCTAGCTGCGGCCATTGATGGTTGAGGCGGAATGCAGTGCATTGCCAGCGAGTAAAAGTTCAGCCCAATGTGCTGCCCGAATCTTCTGACTCACTCCCGAACTCAGCCATCACACCGAGGGCAAAACTATGGACTGGCTCCTCCGCCGCGTTCCTCCTTCGACCTTTTTCCCTTTCCGTTGCGTTCCTCCTTGCAATTTTTTGTTTGATCTTGCATATTTGGAGGTGAAGTTGGGTTAGGTGGTTGGTAGTGGATGTGGACGGTGGGGATGGAGGTGAAATTGGGGCTGGGTGGTCGAGACGGTAGGGATAGAGGTGGGTGGGGGTGTGGTGGTGTTGGTGGGTATTGGTGGCGGTGATGATGGTGAGTATTGGTAAGGGTGGTAGGTTAATTGTTCTTTCAACCATATATTATTTGAATACGGTTAGTTTTATAAATATACCAAGTTAACTAAGGATGGCGACGGGGTGGGTTTGGAGGGGGTTTCCCAAAATCCCGCCCCGCCCCGTTTAATTTTTGGAAAGTCCATGCTCACCCCGTGCCCCGCGACGGGTTGAATTTTCATATCCATCCCCACCCCATTGGGAAATATTGTGCCCCGTGCTCGTCCCGCTAACAATTTTTTTATCTCAGAAATTAATCTAGTGTCCCTATATGTCTTCCACAATTTTCTTAGTCGAATAGCCCGAACAGAAGAAGACGAAGAATAGATCAATCCCTTTGCCTCTGCCTGAGAAGAATAGATCAAATAAATTATAAAATAAGATATATATATATATATATATATATATATATATATATATATATAAGGGAGAAGAAGAACTGAAGAAAAATAGATTTACCTACATGAGTGCGTGGATCCACCTGAGAAAGAGAAACAGAGACTGGTGAGGAAGAGAGGGATTGAGGTCGAGGGTTTGGTTTTTGAATTTTGACTCTCTTTGTCTTCTGTGCTGCTCAGTTCACACATAGGGTTTAAGAAATTAGAGTTGTAAGAAATGGGTAACTGGGTAAGCCGGTAAAATAAGTTATTAATATTATATAGGGCAAATTTCTCAAAACCCCTAAAACTATCAATAAGTGATCATAAAACCCCAACCCACTTCGAAAAACCCCAACACTATTATAAAGTTATCACATTACCTCAATATTCGAGTCCGACCCGTTAACCGGGCTGTGAAATGACAAATTTAACCTTATTATTTAATGTTAAATTAAAAATAGAAAATTATTATTTTTTAAATTACAAAAATACCCTCTCCTTTTTTCTTTTTCTTTTTTTCTTTTTTTTTTTCTCTTTTTTGTTTCTTCTCATCACCATCTTCGGCAGCAAGAATATTGCCGGCGATGAAGCTAATCGCCGTCGGCAGCGACCAAACCAGGTCGCTGCCGGCTTCCCTCATTCCAGCGAGGTCGCTGGACTGGTCGCTGCTTACCATTGCTTATTCCTCGGCCCAAGGTTGTGCCCTTCTTCTACCGATCAACTAGGTTGCCAGAGCGCGACCTGGTGAGCACCATGGATGACGACCAGAAGCTTTTCAAAATTGAGAGAAGAATGATTCACCAATGAAAAGTGTATGCATCAACGTCATGAAGATTTGACAATGACGTCATTGAAGCGCCGAATCTCGAAGTCACAGATATTAAGGAACCATCGAGAGATAAAGAGAAGAGCAAGTGAAAATGCTACACGACGACTCACCCACCTTTCTCTTCTTCTACTACCTCATCATCTTCATCTTTCTTCTCAGGGAACCTAATTTAAATGAGAGAGAAACTTTATGCTCTTCGTAAAAAAAAAAGGCCCATTAGACTTGAATTTCAGAACATTCAAACACACGCAAGATTTGACCATTCTTCCATCTCAAGCCCAATTTTCCTCCTCTGTTTCTCACTCCAACGTACCCATTCTCTTTCTAGAATATCAGGGAACCCAA